TAATAAAGAAGAACAGAGCAATGAAGAGATATGCTTCTTAACAGAGCAGGGACTTTCCTTTTGGATTCACTGTGGTGGGGTCACTGAGACTGGGGTCTCAGTGGAGATGGTGGTGGGGTCACTGAGATTGGATGTAAATCAGGATGAAAAAACTATCCACTTTTGTAGCTACCAGGGAAGTGCAAACTGTTTTTGCCTAATTTGAAGCCTGCTCAGATATCATGGGTTGCAAAGTTCATCTAAAAACTTTAACATTATTAGGTTCCCATTCTGCATAGGGCAGACTGTGGGAAGCAGAGAGCAGCAGAGAAAATTTCTAGTGGGCCAAATTCTGCTATTCCTTACACTGGTGCAAGCAACCCTGTTGAAGACCATTTTTTTACTCCCACTGGTAGGGCAGGATTATCGCCTGCAGTATTTTTTGTAGTCAAGCGTCCCTTGCATGACATAGTGAATTCTACTGAGACACCTTCAAAAATGAAGCAGCAGACTCTGTATAGCTTCCTGCAGGTGGAATGAGAAGAGGGTTGGCAGTCAGGGAGTCCTGAGCTTTCATCTTGGCTCTGCCACGTCTTTTCTGTGTTGACTCTGGCAAGTGCCTCAAGTTCCCCCATGTGTACAAAGAGATAATATCGACCTTGCAGTCATAGATGATTCATGCCTCCCCATATGAGGAGGGGGGGTTACAATCTAAAGGGGAGGACATGTGACCACCCCACGTGTCTACCCTGCCCAGTGACCCCTTCTCCCCCCGGCCCTGCGCCACCATGCTCTCCCCGCCCCATATTACCTGCAGGGTGAGGCTCTGACCTTCTCTCCCTGCACCTCCCCCTCTCCCTCCACACACACATTCAGCTACTCTCCCTGGCAGCCATGGCGGGGACAGAGGCCAAGTGAGCCAGAAACATGCTGGGGGGAGAAGGTGCTCCTGCTCGCTTGGCCCCTGTCCCCAGCAGCTAGGGCAGCAGTGGGCTGCTCCCCGCCCGGACCCAGCTGCCAGGGACAGGGGCTGAGCGAGCCGTAGCCCCTCCCCCGCAGCATACTGGACCCCTGTCCCCGGCGGCCAAGACTGGGCAGCCGCATGCAGCTCTTTTGAAGTCAGTTGGTCTCCATATAGAGTCAGGGGTCCGTGTATATACATTGCTACCGGATTGGAGCCTTAGATACCACAGAGATGGGAACCTCAGAAATGTGAGATAGACAGACTCCAGGGGGAGAAAAAAATCAGGACTCTGCTGTCTGAATCTGGAGGGTTGGGGAGATTTTTCTTAAATGGACTTTAAGCATCAGTGCATCAGAGACCTCAACATCGGCACCAAGTTCAAAGGGCACAGAGGCAGCCACCTCCTCTCCCTATACTGCATAGCTGAGTTAATGAAAGATTTATGGTGGATCTACTCCAAAGACATACACTTTCCATTTGGGTTGTTCTTCCACCTCCTGCATTGTCCTACAGATGATTCATGATGTTCATGTGGCCACCATAAGAGTTTGGCAAAGGAAAACACCATGCATATGTACGATTCTCCCACAGGAATATGAAGCTTTCCTACCACTTGCAGAAAGCAGCAATAACCAGCACACAAAATGGGAGTAAATACAATGCAACTGAAGGCATGTAATTTGCAAATTACTACATGGTAATTAAAACAAATTTAAAAGGGAAATTCCAGAACTTTTTTTTACATAGATTTTACTAGTAAGATCGAGGCTCAACCAAAACATGGACAGCCTTGAATTTCTGGACTTTTGAAACCCTTCTCCAACATTGGAGCCCGCCTCTACCAACGTCAACATAAAAAGAATAATTTGGCCTCAGAAAATGAATTCTTATCTACAGAATCACTTGCTCCCTTATCAAGTTTTATAGACTCAAGTATTATATTTACTTGAGTTAGAACCAAGTAAGTGCAAATCTTAACCCACTTTCAGCCAGATTCTTAACTGATGTAAATCAGCTCCATTAACTTCACTCAGATATAATGCCTTACGCCAACTGAGGATCTGGCCCTTAGTTCTGAGATGCCTTCTTAATAAAAGCATGCAATGCAGTACGTGGTTGAAGCTCAAGATTACAGTGCTTAACTGTAGCGCCCAGCCACTGAAGTTCACTTCCTGCTACCATTTCCTGTACCAGTCTTAAAACAACAGTCTTTTATACAGTACTGGTTAGTGAGTTCATCAATTTGTGTTGTGGTCAGTACAACAGAGCAAGCACCGGTTATTTTAACATTGCCAGCCAAAAATATTTCAGCCTATCACCTAATGAGTTGCCCAGGGAAAAATCTATAATGCCCTCTTTGATGTAGTGAAATAGTTTGTACACAAAATCCAGTAACATTTACCATTGTTCCTTATGGCATATTGTATGTTAGTATCAAATATGGGTAGAGTTTCATTTCTCTAATGATGAATGTTGAGTTTTCTATAAAATCCAAAGAAGAAACTGAAAGGTCATCTCAGGAATGGCAAATTTAGGGTTTCAGTTTAGAGAGTCAAGTTTAATTTATCATTAAACACTTTAATAGCCCTTTAGCTCTGTTTCTTATTGCACACCAGGTCATACATCCTCAGTTCCCAGTTCAGTGGAGAGACTGGCCTTTTGACCCCACATCCAAATACACCCAGATTCTGGAGTGTTTGCAATTCAGATCAAAATTGTCAGATTGAGCAAATCGCAGATTCACAGCTGAAAGGGTTCATTAACATTTCTCACTGCATGGAGATGTGTGTGCTAGTCTTTTGCCAAAAAAAAATTCTGATCCTCACCCCTGCTGGTTCTGTCAGCTGGATTGCAAGGGCGGCCTGAAACTTCACCTTTTAAGGATCACGTCATCAGAGCAGTTGTACACACTGTACAGTGTTTAAACGCCCATACTTGCTAGTGCCCTGTTTACACTAGCGCGCCCACTCTTGTTAGCACCGATGGAACTGAAACGGGGACAGCCAATGTGGGAAATTTTTGAAACAATTTCCCCATGCGGACAAGGCCCATGATTTCACAAAGTGAAACTCAGAGATAATCGTACTTTCCCTGTGTGCTGGTGCAGCTTAATTCCTTCACAAAGATGTAATCCTTGCATAGGCTCACTAGGGCAGCTTAGCTATCTGAAAGCGGAAGCAACAATGACGGGGGCACCAGAAAGATGCACAACCCACCTACCATGGGTTTATTTTGGCGTTGTTTGCTTCTGAACAGCTTATCGGTGTTTCTTATGAAGATCAGAGCTGCAGCACTCAAGCTACCCCTTTAAAAAAATATTCTTAGTGTTTCTCCAGCAGCTTGCACCCAAGGATCTCAAATACTGTTATAAACATTAATAAATTAGGTCTCACACCCTCACTCTGAGGCAGGGGGTTGCATTATCCCTCTCATTGTTTGCTGGTGCTCTCCTGTCTGCTTGTCTCCACCTGTTGGCTCTTGTTTTAGACTTAGACTGTAAATTCTTTGGGGGCAGGGACCATCCTTTTGTTCTATGTTTGTACCGCACCTAGCACTATAGGATCCTGGTCCAGGATTAGGGCTCCGAGCTGCTCCAGTAATGCAGGTAATTATTAATACTAATAATTATGCCCATTTTACAGATAAGGAAACTGAAGCACAGAGGCCCTGATTATCAGAAGTGCTGAGCACGTGCAGCTCCCACTGGTTTCAAATAGCTGGGAACAGAACCATCCTTCACCTTCCCATTCCATGCCTTAAGCACAAGAATCCCATCCTTCCTCTCTTCTTGGACGGATATTCCCTACATCCTGCTATTTGGAAGGTACATCTGGCAAGAATTAAGGCATGTGTTGAAACAGATCCAAATTAATCTCAACATCATTTGCTTGGGGTTAGCTATGAAGATATGAGCTATATTTTTGCTCTGTTATCAAAAAGACTTCCTTTGTGCAGTCAGTTTGTAAAAATGGTACACAGTATTGGAAAGATTTTCAATCCCATCACATTCTGTTGTTTGGAAGGCACCTATTGTTCCACTACCCACACACCATCTCCATTAACTGTCTCACATTTTCGCTCTAGTAGTACATCCATGCAATGCCAGTCAGATAGCAGTACATGGCGTTCCACATTCTGATGGATGGGGATCCTCCCAGGTTGAAAACATCAATATCAGACTGACTTTAGGTCTTTATTCTTCTTAGAGTAGATGCCCTTAGATTTCATGTGGTCAGAACTCTTGTTTGTTTTACTTTCTAACATCCATTTTGGTCACAAATTTCTCTAGAAGTCCTATGAAAATAGGGAGAGGGGTTTTCAGACGCTGCTTCAAAATGGCATTGAGAGGAGCCATTAACCCTCTTTAGTCACTGCAAAACAGCTAGCAGTGCTATGCTACCAAAATACTCTCATGCACCCCAACAATTCACCAACATTGACGGAACAATGGCAGCACAGCAGGGAAAGAATCAACACACAGGCCTAATAAAAAAAAAGTAAACCAAGAAATTGCTCTGACTGACATTAAAATTTCCAAGGAAAGATTGGTGGCCCATAGACCGCTGGTCTCTCCACTAAATAGCAACACACTTTCTGATGGTGTGTGAGCGACTGAGGCTGACCTCACTTTTATTTTTAATTAAGTCCATATTTTATTGGGCAATTACTGGCCCTAGCCTTAATTTTCCCCCCAAAAAGACAATGATCATTAATCATACCTGTTGTATTAAAATTATACGCTGCTCAAACGTCCCAAGCCCAATTACTCTTATGAGACCTTGGGCACATCACTTAATCATTCCATGTCTCAATTTACCCAACTATAAAATGGGAACAACACTATTTGCCTTATCTTCCGAGGACCTATCACAGATATTTACTCCCACGAGTAACTTTACTTATATGATTAGCTCCAGTGACTGGAATGGCTTTACTCACGTGAACTTTAGTGGGATTACTCATATGAGTACAGTTATTCATAATGTGTGACATATTTTTAGGATCAGTTCCTAAGACTATACATTTCATCAGAGAAACACTGCAAAATCTGCCTTACCTGAGGTCTTCTCAGTGAATACAACTTTAGACTCTGCTGTGAAATTCTGACCAGACAGGATCATCTGCTGTCCGCCGTAAACTAGGCAGCTCTCAATATCTTGTCTTTCAACCATTGGAAGCTCATGAGCAGATCTTTGGGCTGTGGACAAAATGCAGACATGAATGAAATCAAATATGTTTTACCAGGACTTTCCAGATCTTCACAGAACTATCCACGGATTGATCTTGTCATCGTTACCATCCTCTTGCTGCCAAAGGAGCTTCTCTAAGATGCTAAATTTAGGTTTAAAAAGGAAAAATAAACTTACTCGAGACCTTTTATTTGGAAACATTCGGGAGCTGGCTCCAAAGTTGTAGCTGTGCTGGCCTTACTCCTTGTCCTTGACAAAGGACAGCTTGGATGAATGAGCTGGAGCGTGCCCATGTCTGTTTCCAAATAAATGGCCAAATTTTAAATCCTCACACACTACAATCCTGGAGCCTTAACATTCCACCTGCCAGAAGGATTCCACTGAACAACACTGAATTCCTTTTTTAGAAAACCAATACAAATCTCCATTCCTTTCCAGCAGGACAGACAACACGAAAAGGCTTCAGAACAATTCGTTCACCAACATCAATGCACAACTGCTGAGTACACGAAGCCCTGGGTTTGTACCCTCAAACAGCTGCTTGGAACAACAAGATGGGCCACTGCATGCACACAGCACCAGTGGCTTCAGCATGGCTCTGCTACATTCTATGACCTTGTGGGGTTACTTGCCGCTGCAGGGATAACTGAGTAACAGGTCTATGCACTACAGAAAGAGAAAATTTTAACATAACAGGATAAACAACAAGGGAATGACCAGCCGAAGGAGGATCAGTGTGGAGATATGTTATTGATTGATGCCCATCTATAACAGAGAGGGTGGTATCTACAGGATGGGGCAAGTTGGGACCAGATGGGGCCTAGACCAGGAATATTTCTCCACCTCTCTGGATTTAGTTATCCCAGTCAGGCAACTGGGGAGACTAATACTTTCCTGCCTTGCAGGAGGGGGAGAGAGAGAGTTATGAAGCACATGAGGCTCCTCTATAGAAATGTAATATAGCATCTTCCAGATCATAATCATCGATTAACATGAGTTAGAACAATTCATATGGGCAGGAAAAAAGCTTCTAGGAATCACGTCTCCACCACATTAACCTGTTTCCTCAAGCAAGCCTGCTTGGTCACAAACAGCAGTATCTGAAAAAAGCCATGATCCAGGAGTCCTTCCCCAGAACAGACATCTGGAAAGGATCAAACACCGTCCTGGGACCAGGCCTGGTGTTTAGCCCAAATGTATTTGTGTGTGCAATTTTTTTGCAAGTGATACTATGGAGGCTGGGTACAGGCTCAGCTGACAAACTCCACCTCCAATCCCAGAATACACTTTATGCTTATTTAAAAAATATAGTTTGGTATTTATCACAGTAACTGTGTCATTGTAAATTTTTTTTATTTTGTTTTGCTTTGAATTTAGGACAATGCCTTATTGTGCCCATCAAATGTATTATGACAGCTGGACTAAGAAGATGCCAATGAAGAGTATCTATGCAGATAACTTTCACAGAAGCTGTTAATTTCTTCCACATGGCTGTATGATTAATCCCTCTTTTTAAATACTCAAGGTTTTGATGAGTTCATAATTGGATTTATCACAAAGGCAGATTTATAGCCCTGAAAGCTTAAGAGTAAATAATAGTCATAAAAAACCCATCTACTGCATTTAAAGGAGGACACACTTAAACTTCACCTGTGGCAGTAGTATGTCCTCTCATTCAGTCCAATGTTGTGTCAGAATGAAGGTGTGATGTTTCTTTACAGGGTCGCTATAGGCCTAATTTTCAATGGAGCCCAGCACCCACCGCAGCTTCCATTGATTTCAGTGTCTGAGGCAAGAAGCCTTAAATCCAGTTTCCTTAAGGGCACATGCTTACTCCGGCTTCTGGGCCCTGCAGCTACAACTTTTTCTTTTAAAGGGGTCCACAGAAGGTAACAGATGCACTGGGATGTGTTCATGCATTCCAAGCCCTAGTTTTCCTTTATGGGCACCTTTCATTCTAAAGTACTTTTCACACTGGCCCATGCAACTATGTATTCAAAATCCACACTTGATTTGCCCATGCAGGTTCAGCAACTGTGTGTGTGCAACTGCACACACAAATCGGCAATTACAGTCATTTCACGCACAATCAATTACCAATGTGCACATGCAGCGATCATAACTACATGTATAAATTAGGCCCCCAGTTGCAAGTGAATTTTGTGCGTGCAACTGCACCTCTGGTTCCTCTGAAAATTGTGCTTATATATTGGGATCATTTTGCCCATCATTGAAAGGCTGCCATTTCTGAGGGTGGAATGGTGACTATGCCCCCCCCCCAAACCCTAAAATACTATATGACAGTTTAGGACAGTGAAACATTCCATATCTAATTAAAACGTCAGGATCAGAGGATTAAAAATTTCAGTACTAAGAGTTTCAATCACAGGGTCTGGTTTTTCTCCTTGAGGCAGGCATAAGGTTAATGGGAGCACTAGGGGAAGAGGTGAGGTCATAGTGCATAAAATGGTTTATTAACATTTACCTGTATGCATCCAGCTGCCATTAAGTTGTTTGCAAATTGAATATTCTATTATTAATGATTATTTACTATTATTTTTGATGTATTATTTCTCCCTGAGCCACAACTGTAATGGAACTGGCAAAGAAATTAGGATCTTAGCATATGCCATGTTTTCACTCGTAAGAGGACAGAAGTTTCACTGGTGTATTGCTTCCATAGGATTATTGTTTTCCTTTGCAAAGAATATCAATCACCAGTAAATCCCCTTCCTCTAAGGCTCACGATGGATGGCCTGTATGCAATAATTTCACATTATTTCTTCTTCTCCCCCAGGGGTCGGCACTTCATAAAGTGACCTCCAGCTACTGTAGTTTATGAGCTTGAATAAATAAAACACTGTTGATTTAACCAGTTGGGGTGTTTACTTTCAATAGCAACTGTTACTGACATAAGGCAGCAAAGCAAATGTTAAAGAAATACTCGCACTTGGCCTGAAGCAGCGTGTCAACCTATTAAAGTGTGCATTATTTTTCTATTTTATTTGACTGTCTGCAAATCAAGATGTCATGGATCCTCAGTGCCAAGAAATACAATACGCCCAGCGACATGAGAGAAAAAGAGAACGGCTCTCGGGGGGGGGCTGTGCTGTGCCTCTGCGAGCCCCAGCCTCCCAAAAGGGGAGGAGGGAGGGAAAGGGGGAAGCAAATGGCTCCACGTGCCACGCTTCAGACGAGCAGAGCACACGACAGGCAGAATGTGTTCTGGCAGGAAGGGAGGTGGCTCCTACATCTTTCTGGTGGTGCAGCCTGCTTTTCTCATTCATATTCATAGATCCCAAGCCCAAAAGGGGCCATTGGGATCAGCTAGTCTGACCTCCTGCATAACACAGGCCAGAGAACTGCCCCAAAATAATTCCTAGAGCAGAGCTTTTAAAAAAGCATCCAACCTTGATGCCAGCTAATGAGGAAGAGGGTGAGTCCATGCCTCCCCTAGCACTTTGGGATGGCTAGCAATGCCATAAGGATTTATGCTGCACTTAGGGTGCTTGTGGATTGGGATTGTGGCTGACACCTGTGCAGGTGTGCATGGGTGCGGGGAAGCTCCTTGCACCTGCTCGCTTTCCCCTTCCTCCTCTGTCCAGATGCAGAGAGCCAACTACCATCTGCTCCTCACAAGTTCCCTGCAGAAAAGCTGGTGGTTCTTTGTACGAAGAAGTTGGAAGACAGCAAGTGGCTCAGAGACCTCATTGGAGACAATTAACCCTTGAGATAAGCACCACTCTGGGCCCGATCCTGCCCAAGTTGTTAATGGCTGTGTAGCAGGCAGCATTGGGTTCCAAGTGACAAACTCTAGTAACGCCTTACAAGCATTATTTTAAATAATCACCGATCCTTCCAGCTTTACCCGAGACCCACCTCCCCCATCACCCCAAGAGGTGCCGCTCTTCTCTTCCACTTTCACCCTGCAATGCCTCACTTTGGATAAGCAGATCTAGTCCTGCTTCAGGGTCATGCTTCCTCCATTGGCTGGGAGGGCTGCCAAACATTCCCGTTTTCCCTGACTGCTGATGGGAGGATGACAATAGCACAGCGATTTGTGAGGTTCCAAAGTTTGTTTTAGTCCAATGCACAACAGAAACACTCAGATGTTTTCACAAAAACGTAACTGTGTCAATTTGGGGAAAGCGAGGTGTGCGGGGGAGGGTGGTTTGGGGGCTAGGGCCGTGGCCTGGGAGACCCAGAGAGTGTGAGAGTCTCTCTCTCTAACCTTCCCAAGGAAAACTTCATTGAAATCCATACATCTCGGGGAGACATTTCCACTTGGGTGAAACAACATATTTCGGTGAAATTTCATTTAGCCAAAGATGTTCTGACCAGCTCTTGTACTGACTCATTCTATGACTAAACTTCATTGAGTCTAACGCTTGCCTGAGTCCCCAGAGAGGAACTTCCTAGGCATTCTTTGTGTGTGTGCCTGGTGGGTGTGAAAGGAGCAGTGGGATGGAATGGGAGATGTGAACAAAATCACTAAATTGATCTGCCTCTTGGGAGAAGTAGACTCGTGGGCTCGCCCTGGGCAGCACCAATCCAACCATCACATAAGGAACAGACACTCTGCTATGTACCCAGACATGGCTGGATCCTGTCCCCTTTTCTCTTGGGGCCTGTTCCAGTCTAGCTGCAATAATTCCTCCAAGAGCTTATCCTGACCTCCAAGAACACCTATGGAGAAAGAGTCCAAAGAACAGCTACCAGGGCTCAGTTACATACCCGAATTTCAAACTCCTGCAAAGTTCAGGTTGTTTGGTCCCAAACTTTTGGTTTGACCTATTATCATGAGGTCAGCTGCAAAATTCTGATCTGGTGCTGGGTTTGCATTTTGATCCCTCTCAAACTCAAAGGTCAGCGGTTTTTCAAATCAAGGTCGTTGGCTTGGGGCCATCCCTACCTGAAAGTTGAAAGGATTAGAGGCAGGATGTCTAATGAGGAAAGTCTGAAATGATGATCTATGCATGGCTCCAATGGAAGACAGTAGACATGTGCTAGGATAGTACTGGAAAGGAATGACTGAACCTTACAAGATTTAGAATAGAGGCTTAGTATGCAGAAGATTCCAAAACCACCTGGAAGCTAAACGTGCAAAAGCTTTAGATGAACAGTTCAGAAGCTCAAAAGAAGTTTGGCTTGGAGCTGAGTTTTGGATGAAGGTTCAAGTGTTCAT